TTGTGTTTTTGAATGCCCCGTCTTCCCACAGACAAAATAATGTCTATAATAACATAGCTGCAATAAGTTATTGCTGTTCACCCAAAAACACCTACACTTTCTCCGTGACTGAGACGGTGATGCTGACGACTGAGAAGATGCATTGGTATCAGCCTCCTCTTCTTCTTTGGACTCAGTTTTGATCTCTGGTTTCTCCTCCTCCTCCTCCTCTTCCATTGGCTCTTCCTTAGTCGCAAGACTCTCATTGCTTTCTTCCTTCAACTGAGGACATGAAGGAACATCATTCTGCGGAAAGAAATTGCGTATAGCAATTATGTTTGCAGTCTCATATTTACCACCTTTTAATCACTGTCCTAACATACTTAAATTACTCTATACTTTTAAGAGCCAGTGACAATAATGAACTTTACTGCCAAAAAGGCAATTTAAAAATTTTAGTTAGGTTGCTTAAGTACTTCAGCCACTATATATAGTGGAGGTCCGTATTCCCAGCAGTCTGAGATCAGTACTCACTATAACAGCTAGTCAATTCAACAACTGCTGCAATTTCTTAAAGAACTTCTCCACCTCTAATTCCTGCTGCTCTGTGGTATAGTCCTTTCCTGTGATCAATTCCAAGCTCCAGTGAAGCAACTTGAACTTAGGGTTTTCAAACATTTTACTGTCATGCTGAGGCAACCTCAGTAATCTTGTCTGCTGCTACTTCTGCCCCAAACGTGCACTACATTCCACTAACTCTAAACTAAACCCATTAATGGCAGATTCCTGCTGCATCCATGGGATACAAATGGAATCGAAAGGTGGCCAACTATCATTACTCCACATTTGTAGCTCACATTTAATGTATGGAGTCTAATTTAGCACCTGTAAAATTCCATAATATGATAACAAAGACTCATCAAGTAAACTGTAATTTCAGTTCCCAAATTGCACTCCCTTTAAATACAACAAAACAAATGAAGTTAACTTGGGAAAATGTCCAATTCATTTTAGATTACAGTATGTTAAACAACCAAAGGATAAGTTTATACCTACAACACATGAAAAGCTTAAGGCGTTATCTGTTAGTCCTTGTACCTCAGTTTTGATATCCGCCTGTGTTTCTGGTACATCTGATTCAATTTCTTCCACTTTGAGCTCTGACTTGGTGTTAGACGGTGGTGCTTCAGCTATAAGTTGCTGTGAATTTGTGTCTGTACTAGCCACAGACGCTGGGGTAGCTACTTTACCATCTGCGCTTGCTGCAGAGTGAGACAGCTTTGAATTTAGGAAAGAAATAAAAACATTCAGCTGTGAAAACAAAATCTATGTAGCACAATGAGCAGCTGTGAAAGTACCCTATAAATCAGCAGTTGTGTTACAGAAGTTAATGAGTGATATGCAGACCATGGTTAATAACCTACTGTACTATTTACAGCACACAAAATAAAGTGTGAAAATGTAATTTTCAGTGTAAACTAAATTGTGCCACAGATTGAAAGATGCCTGCAGGAATGTTACTGTTAGCCTGACGATGCCAGATTGTACTGCAGGTAGTATAAAGATACCCATGATTCTAAATGCATTTAACATCTTGGCATAATTAACATCGCAGATAGAACTATTTCTCATATTTAAGGCAAGAAGTCACACAACACCAGGTTACAGTCAAACAAGTTTTGAAATCACAAGCTTTCGGAGCACTGCTCCTTCATCAGGTGGCTCTGAAAGCTTGTGATTTCAAATAAACCTGTTGGAGTATAACCTGGTATTGTGTGACTTCTAACCTTGTCCACCCCAGTGAAACACCAGCACCTCCACATCTTATATTTAATACTTTCGCAAAGAGGACACACCCTTGACCAGGTTATCAATTTGGAGTGTTACTGGTAAAGTAGTTGAGTTGGGGAAGTTATAATAGTCCAATGGTAAAAGACAAAAAAAATTGCCTTATACCAGTTAGCATCTGAAAAGGCAGGAAACTATTTCTAATTGACCTCTGCGTCTGAATACCTACAGCCAACAAAAAGCCCCAGAAAGTGTCATGTCCACACTGATTTGCCTTATTTTTTTAAAAGACGACTTCTGGCAGTTTAAATTTCAGTATTTATTTATTTAGCTAATGCAAATCCTTGAAGCTTCCTCATGTGCTCAGAAATTTGCCACTTAATCTGTAAAGAGGACACTCTTGGGCGATGTGCAGAATGGTTTACGTCAATCCACCAAGGACGTAGTTTTTTTTTACTGAGGTTCCAGTGGTGGAAGTTGGCAGTGCAGGTGCACTGACTTGGCTAAAACCTGTTTTGGAAGGACCACTCTCACTGTAGTAGTTCAACCTTGCCACTTGGTCGACAAGAGTTGTCACAAGAACCTTGTTAGTGACTTTCCACGTATCCCATTCCTTGATCCAAGAGATGCAAGAAATATCAGTTACAGTACACTAGTTTGGCAATTTCCAATCCATGGGCCTCTCAGAATGACAGTATACTGCTCAATTAGCAGTATCACACTGTAGACCCATTTTCGTATGAACCAGGTGTAGATTGGCCAAACCCAAACTCACATCAGACATTCTGCAAAAAATAAAGTGCCTTCCTATCGTCCTCAAGTGAGGACAGCCTTTTTTGGATAGCTCAATTATGTGTTTTTGTCAGTCATGTACTTTGAGGACACGGAGAAACACACAGAAAATTTCCAATCGGGATTAACAAGCAGTAAAGGACATGAAAATCTTCACAATTTAACTTGCAGCATTAAGAACGTCTCCATATTTATGACAGCACTCAAATTACTAGGGAAACAAGTTACTAACTTATGAATACAGCAATTCAAATATTTCCCAGCGTAGAAGAAACATAAAATTGGTTCAACAACTCTAATCATCGGCTAAACTCTCATATTGTTATTGTGCAAAAAAACCTTCGTTAGATTCTAAGACTACTCACTGGAGTGGCAGGCTGAAGCGGCCCAGTAGCCTGCTGCATTGATTGTGGTGTTGCTACTGATGGCTGAGATTGCACTGGAGTTGGAGGCCGTGTTGGAGTCTGGGTCGGAGGTGGAGTCTGATTTGGGGTTGTGCTCCGCACTGGAGTTGGTGATGAAGCTCGCCCTGAGGAGGAAGCTGGAGTGGAGGCCTGAGACTGAGAGGTTGTTGGTTGAGGAGAAGTCATGCTGGATGGGGCCGGGTGTTGGATAGATGGCATACTTCCAGCAGCAGTAACAACGACAGGGGCAGAGACAGATGCAGGAGAAGGAGCTTGCCGAAGAGTTGGCTGAGAAACCGGTGCACAATGCATTTGAGCACTGGGTAGTCCAATCATGCTTACAGGATTGTTCAAAGGAAGTGAAGTGCCAGGTGCCTGATTCTGCTCCAAAAACACAAGCACAATCATTTCACTAACTCTATTAATAGTTACTGTAATAATTGAGAGAAGTTTAAATTAGTTAACTATGTTTTACATGGAAAAGCTTTTAAAAATGTATAAAACACAATAGAATAGTCAGAAAACTCCACAGTGGCAATTGCTGAGTACCAGCATACTGACAACATTCTCATTCCGCACTATTTGTCAGCATTCAAGCTATCTCAGATAGTTTATTCAATGAGGAGTGTGAAGCGTTGAGAAAAGTTCTTAATGAAAGCCATAAAGAGTACTGGTTTTCAGAGTTTAGACTTTTCTGTAGGCATGGGCAGTGGCATGTTGGTAATCTCACTGCACCAATAATCCTGAGACCCTAGAGAAATTAATTGAAATGCCACTATGTGAGCTAATGGAAATTAAATTCAATTAATCATTGTTAAATGAAAAGCTAATCTGATTTACCAAAAAGGATACCAAACTGCCTGTTCAACCTTACTTCTCTTGTATTTTACCTACCTTCTGACAACACAGCTTCCGCTAGAATGAATGAATTGATGCTGATCAAGGACAGTGGAGGGGGAAAAAAAGAGAGCCAACAGAAGTTCTTTTGTAAACAAGACATCAACAGAAGACAAAAACAGCTTCTGGAAGCACTCTGTTTAAATTTTAAGGGAAAACAAATATATAGTATTTCACTGGAGCATAAGGCTCCAGAACTGAGTAATAGTGACTTGAAAGAAAGATAGAAATTGTTGGTGAAGCTCAGCAAGTCTAGCAACATCTGAGGAGAGAAAGTAGAGTTCATGGTTCAAGAGTCACTGAACTTGAAATGTTAACTGTGTTTTCTCTTCACAGATACTGCCATACTTGTCGAAGTTTTCCAGATTTGTTTTTGTTTCAGATCTTTGGCATCCACAATTCTTTGTCTTATCATAGTGATTTGATAATGTCATAAGTATTTAGCTAAAAATGAGCCTACTTAAGAGCACTTAAAACTCAATGCCCCCTTTCAAAACCATAGTTGTTTCTACAAAAACAAGACACACTACATTTATTTAAAAGTAGAATGTTATAACACAAGAAAAGTTAAGAGAACTACAATTATTGCCACATCTTCATGCCCAACCAACAGCACCTGAATTAATAAGTGCACTTGATGTGGTTGTGCTGAATGTACCTGATTCATTCCAGACTGGTTTGCTGTTTGAGATATGCCCACATTATTCACATTCATTCCACCAGAGGCTGCAGAGAACTGGTTCTGGTTCATAAACTGGTTCTGGGGGGAGGACTGACTAATGTTATTGGTGTGTACTCCCAGCAAACCCTGGGGCTGTGGCAATCGGGAGGGTGATATTCCCATCTGGAAGAAAGTAAACAATGTCACAATTCATACCAAGACAAAAGAAAAATAAACTGACATTGCCTTGCATTCATAAAGCATCTTCGATATAGTAGAACTGGCTATTTCTCTTCCCACCCTCACCACGTAAAAGATATGGGTTTGATGACAAAATAGAATTCAACAGTCAACGACGTTAACTCTCCCACTGGCATCTTTCCCAAAAGGTAGCATTTCTATTAGGAAAACAGCAGTTTAGATATGAAATTCAGTTAAGCCAAGAATTATAAATCAGACATCATATGGATCAGTGAGGGACAGGGGCAATAGACAGATGGGTGGATATTAGCAAGAGTTAGATAAACTGAAGAATATGAAGTATGAACAATGTGGGGAGGGAGGGAGGCAGTTTGCCAGTAGGAGAGCACTTGAATAATCAAGTCTGGTGATGGAGGGGTCAATTACTAGGGGACACAGGTTCAAGGTGGGAGTGGGAGTGGGAGTGGGAGTGGGAATTTAAAAGAGATGGGCGAGGCAAGTTTTTCACACAAAGGATGGCGAGTGCCTGGAATGCACCACCAGAGGTGGTGACGGAAGCAAATAAAATAGCAGCATTTAAGAAGCACCTGGACGAATACTTAAAAGGAAGGGAATAGAGGGATATGGATCCTATAAGTGAAGACAGTTTCAGTATGGAAGGGTAAAATATGTTGGTTCACGCTTGGAGGGCCGAAGAGCCTGTTCCGGTGTTGCACTGTTCTTTTGTCTTTGGTGACAAGGCCATGAAGGATGGTGCCATTGGCAGATAGGTAAAGAGTAAGATGAAAATCCATCACCTAGGGGAAGAAGCATTTTGAATGGGAGCATCTTATCCTGATGACAACTAAAATCTCTTCCTCAACAGTACAACTAAAAAAGATGACTGATTACTCTCCTCCAATGTAAATTCTGGCTCATTGATGGTTTGGTTGGTTGTTACATCTACCTGCACATCAATGTACTTTTAAGATGTTTCAACTGAAAAGAGTTAAACACAAATCCAAGCAGGTGACCTTTTATTGGCAAGTTTAACCATGGAGATTGAAATCTTGTATTGTGTGACAGTGTAAAGACAGTAATGTTAGTACAAAAGTAAAGAGACAGCCAACATTTAAATTCTAAGGAAATTTAGGTGCACTGATTAGTACTGGTTTGAAATCGCCTTGCTGTTTGCAGAGGATGCCAAGTAGAAAGACAATAATATGGTCAGCATTCTGAAATATTGTGTGGCAGGTTTCTTGGATTACTGTCATGCAGCATCATTTTACAATTTCCTAAACACAACCCTCACTTACACACAGCTATGTCTTGCAAATTTAGCACATGCAATACATTATCAAAGTAACTGAGTTTTTTCCCTTATCAGTAAATATGACTGAGGTACTGGTGATTTTCTAGTCTCATTAGCAATGAAATGGCTGATCAAAAGAAGTAATTACCGCTGGAATTGATCCCATATTGCTCATCTGTACAGTATGGTTCATGGGAGGTGTTCCACGTGGTCCCATGGGTCCCTGTGGCATCTGCACATTCCCCAATGACATGGAACCAAACTGGTTTATACCTGAGAAAACAAACACATTCTTTTCATTAACTAAAACTGAACTACATTAAACTAATATAGAAGTTTCTCATCAATGGACTTTGGAGGACGATAGGAGATGCTTCATTATCATACCACACAACAAAGCACCAAACTAATTCTTTCCTGCGCACACCAGTTACAGAACCTGGTTCATTTTTCCTCAGTGAATCAGTCCAACCCCCTGATTCTCCTTGTACCTTCCCAATTGATCGTGGTACATATCAATGGGAGTCAGGGACATTCTGTTACCACACAAGTGTTCACAAACAAATGCACTTCTGTGCGATCCTTGCTGATGACCAAAGATAATCCACTCCTTTCCAGCCCAGCCTTCAGGCCTTTGTCACTTTCAGGTTTGCTTACTTCAATATTCTCCTAGGTGGTGTCTTATGAGCCACACTTCATACATTCCAATGTATTCAAAACGCTTTCGCGCTGTTCACTTGTCCATCAAGCCTGTCCTCACTCATCTACATTGTGTTTTTTCCAAAATTTTGAAGTCTCACCTTTGTGCTCAACTCTTCCCATCGTCTCTAACATTCCACAGCCATACAATCCAACTTAAACCATCAATGCCAACCTCTTGTGCATATGTCCTTCTTTCACCTCATCTCTTTCACTTTTCCTTTCACATACCTCAGCCCTATCAAAACTCAGTCTGTAAGCGAGTAAAGGCAAAAAGGATCAAAGTCAAGCCTTTTCTTTTAAACTTAACAGCTTTTACTTGCAGAGGTTATATACGTATACTTCCTTTTCCTTCCAGCTTGAACTTACATATAATACATTTGATGGACCAACTATACTCCTTTTGGAACATGAGGACTCCATGGCTCTACGTAGGTACAAGTGACTTTCCACACACTCCAACTGAATATAAATAACAACAAATTGCTCTACAATTATCAAGCTACACATGGAAATGATCTATCCCAAGACCCAGTTCAAATCAAACTTTTGGTTATATTTTCTAACCTATTTTTGCCTCATCTTGTAACTCTAAGAACAACTTCCCAAATCATTTCAATGTTACAGGCATTTGAAATGCAAGTTGTTGTTTTCGAGGGGGAAAGCAGAAGAGAGGGAATAAAGAGAGATTTAAGACATTTTCAATGGACACTTCCCGAATAGTGGTCAGGAGTGGAAACCTATTTTCCCTCTCACTAACCGCAGAGCACAGGGGTCAACTGTAGCATCTCTGTGGTGGAGATAAGTTAACTCGGTGGAAAAAAAAAGGAATCAATCCTGGAACCATAACCACTTACATGACACAGTTAATCACTGGATAAACTGAGTTATTACGACAACTGCAACCCTTTTCCCAAAAATAAATGCCTGCTTGTTTCATTACAGTACAATTGAAAACTAGTTGTTGTGGCATCATGAATAGTTAGGGGAACTGGACGTGGATTTGAACTTCCCGCAGTTAATGTGAAATAAACAAATGTCTCTGTTCTGTGGTTACATGGCTCACTGGTATATTAACAGAATTTGCTATGTTGTATTTGGAGGTGTTACTCCGTATCCATAATGGGGAGAAAAGAGATTTGCATTTTACATACTGCTTTTCTTGACCACAGGACATTTCAAACATCTACTGTCAATGAAGTACTTATTGAAACGTAGTCATTTCCATGATGCAGGATGTGCAGCAACCGATTCATGCACAGCTAGTTCCCACAAACAGTAATGTAATAGTAAATAGATAATATGTATTTTTGATATTGCTTGAAGGATAAATATTGACTGGGATATCAAAGGTAACCTTCTGTTGTGGGATCTTTGATATTCAACTTGGAAAGCAAACAAAGTCTTGGTTTTTGTCTCATTTGAAAGATGGTACCTCTGTGCAACATTCCCTTTGTACCAGACAAGACTTTCAGTGTAGATGTGATGCTCCATTCTCAGGAATGGGAGTGGAAACCACGAGTATATGACTCAGAAGAGACAGAGTTGTCACTGGAGTCACAACTCATTCTATAGTTCCCAACTCAAGAAGTATTTTACCATAGGGAATGGAGTGAATACAGAGCAAAGGAATATTATTCTTAAGCTTTTACATTTTGTAAAAGAGGAGAACAGATGAATGGTGAAAAAAATTAACAGTGGTTAGTGCTGAATATTTTAAGGAAATTGCAGTCGATAACTGCTAACTAAACATTAACTTACACAGGATCCTTCAACTTCACAAGATGTAAGAAATCTTAAACTGTAATGTAAAAACATTATATTTACAAGTTCCCAATCTTCAAACAATTGGTAGAAACTAACGTTTTAATTTTTTAATTGGTCACAAAAGATTTTGTCCATTGGAAATTCAGCAGGCAGGCACTACAACCAAAAATACCAGACACTAGATTTTCACCCTTCTCTCACAAAGGTAATATGAAGTTTTGAACCTTGATGTTAAGGGGCTCCTGTGTAGAAGCTCAATGGCAAGATTTGGACAGGTACATGAATACGAAAAGTTGAGAGGGATAGGGGTCATATGCAGGCAAATGGGACTATTTCTGACTCTATAATCATTTCCATAAAATACACATACCAGCACGGATCACAGGAATCCAATCAGAGGCAGAACTATTTCCTTCCAGAAACAAATGATGAGACATTTTTAACATTCAGAAGGCATATTGTGGTGCCATCTACAGGTGCAATATGTACTGCAGACAAATACTGCAATTCAAGATGTACTTTTTCCAGAGACAGAGTCTGACATAGGAGTTCTCAGATCATCAAGAAATTGAGTGTTGTGACCCATTTGTAGATTTTAATGAACAAAAGATTTTGTTACTCATTATAAAGGGAAACATTATGGAAAATTTACTTGCCTTGAGATCCTGGCATTCGATTTATCATCTGATTTGGCACATTTGGCATAGACAAGGGTCCATCTTGAAAAAAATAAAACTATTGTCAGAATTATATCTTCTAAAAATATTTCTTACAAAAAGCATTTACCAGAAGCATTGACATACTGCATAGTTCATAGAAAGTAACCAGTAAAACTAAAAAGTAGTGTGGGTTTTTTGTCAAATACGTTTAAGATTAAGGTAGAAATCTTACAATCCCTTGGGCGATTCAAAAGAAATAGTTAAAGTCCATGCAAGAGCAGTATGTATGTAAATATTTGAAAGCCAAATATTTGGCCTAAGTGAGAAGATGGTCAGTTAAATTCGCTTTCACTCTTCATTTTTTTTGGACAAATGATGGAACTGGATAAAATAGCACAGATGGCAGGCCGCACTTCATAAACGATACCAGAATGGAAGTACATACCATCGACATCTATTATGAATCACCCAGTGATGTTCTGTAAAGACATGCTTCTAATCTTGCACACAGCCTGGCAGACATTCAACTGAAAACTTCTTTAGATCTTCGCAAAATTAGAAAAAGAGTTCAAGGAGTTTTGCTTTCTTGACCCTACATGTCTGATGATAGTGGAACTGTACTTCCAAATTGATTTGTACTGAGCATTAAGACAGAAGAAATTTTAAAAAAACGCAATTTGCAATTTGCTGTGAATCTGTTCATATTTATTTTTATTTTATAGCCCTTGCCACTGTCTAACAATGTTTATTCTTCAGCTTTGGAAGCAGAGGAAATCAAGTGACAATACTTACCTCCAAAGTTACTACAATTCTGTTTGATTGGTTGACACTCAGTACTTTGAAAAAGTTTTTGTGGAAATAACTCAAAGTCGTAAGGTTCACTTATACAGGTATTTGTATCTACAAAAAAGAAAAATGTTTGGGACAAGCTCTCAAAAAATGCATCACTCTACCCTTAGAACAGAGAGGCTATCAGTCATAGTGCCAACTCTTGATTGCGAGCACATGACTTCTGTTGAGAGGTACACTATTCCCAAAGCACAAGTTAGGAGTATGATGAAATTCTCCCGGCCTGCCTGAACAAGTGCATCTCCAATAACTATCACGAAGCCTGACATCACCCAAGACAAAGCAGTTCACTTGATTAGCATCCTATTATTCACTCATACACAATGATAAAGTACCTACAATCCACGGATACATTGTAGCAACTTTTCAACACTTCTCTAACAGCACCTTTCAAACCCATGGCAAACCTAACACCTAAACGGACAAGAACAGGGCACAGAAGGAATACCACTACCTGCAAGCTCTGCTCCAAGCGACACACTGTTCTGAATTGAAACCACGTAGCCACTCCTTCACTATTGTTAGATCAAAATCTTGAAACTTCTTGTACATGGCAAGAAACACCACTGTCAGTGTACCCAATGCACACAGACTGCAGTTGTTTTCACCACCTTTTCATGGTTAAATAGGGATGGGCAACAAGTACTGACCATACTGACTGCACCCATGTTTCATGAACCGATGAAAATAAATCAGTAGGAAATGAGGTAAGGACAAGATTGAGGACGACTGTGATGGTCTTCATGCTGGAGTTTTAAGAAAAGTGTCACAGTAGCCAGTATATTGCTGATATCTATGGAATCATACAGATGAGGAAGACACAGCCTTTAGCAATGGAAGAGGAAAGAGATGAGAAATAGACCCAATAACTCACCTTGAGTGTAAGCGTCACTGGAAAGTGAACTGACTTGGGAGAGGGGAGATATAGGCTTACAAAGCAAGAAGATACAGCAGCTATTTGGATAACAATACCCAGAGTGAGACAAGAAGGGACAGAATGCAAAAAAACAGAAACAGTAAATAGGATCAAGGGGTAAAAAAACAAACAGTAAGAAGGTAAAATTAATGGCTCTTTATGTGAATACGCATAGCATTAGAAACAAAATAAATGCACAAATACAGGTAACAAGGTTCGATCTTATAGCCATTATGGAGGTATAGTTACAAGGAGAACAAAATATTCAGAGGTTGTAACTTCCTGAAAGGACAGGGTGGTGGGGTAGTATTGTTAGCATGGGATGGCGTAAGCAAGAAATGATCTTGGATCAGAAGACGTGCAATCTATTCGGACAGAGGAGAGATCACATTCGGAATGTGACACATTATACATTCCCTTGTTTGTCTGTAGGAGACCTACATTTATCTTACAGTGTGTCCAAGAGTTTGGAGAATTGAGGTGTTTCTTGCTTGCTTTTATGGTCCATAGTTTGTAAGGTCTTTTTACAGGATAAATTGCAGCCGACGATTGGTGGCCCACCACGAAATAAAGTGACATCACAGGAAAACCATAAGTACATTGGTTGGTCATAGCTACTAATTTCACTACTATAGGTTAATATCAGATTGAAGGAAAACAGGGGAAATATTTACAGGTTACAAGCTAAAAGACAAGTTGGATCTTTTTTAAAAAAATTAAAAACTAAGTAAATAAAATAGAGATGCAGGGCCAGGCGATATGTTGTACCTGCACAATGTGGGAGCTGGTGGACCCCATTTTGGTTTATAGTGACCACATCTGCAGCAAGTGTTGGTTGTTTGAGGAACTCCAGTTCAGAGTTTCAGGAGACAGTCACACTCCTTAGATTAACTACCTCAAATTCATCCTCAAAGAGGATGAGAAAACTGATCAAAGCACCATAGTACAGAAAACCATTTGGGGGGCAGGAAAGAGAAATGTACCTGTAATTTGCGATAGCATAGTCAGTGGATTGGGCACTCTATTCTGTAGTCAGGATTGAGAGTCCCAAAGGCTAAGTTGCCTGCCTGGTGCCCAGGTTCAGGACATCTAATCTGGGCTGCAGTGGGAGGAGAAAGATCCGGTTATCGTAGTCCACGTAGGTATCAATGATATAGATGGAAAGAGGTTCTGCTGAAGGAATATGAGCAGCTAAGGGTTAAGTTAAAAAGCAGAACCTAAAAGATAATAATCTACAGTTTACTATCTAAGCCACAAACTAATTAGCACAGGGTCAACAAAATACAAAAACATTAGTAGGTATCATATATAGATCCCCAACCTGCAGTGGTGATGTCGAGAATGGCATTAAACAGGAAATTAGAGATGCACAAGGGAATATCGGTGATCATGCATGATTTTATTCTGCACATAGACTGGGCACATCAAATCAGCCACAATGCCATAGGGGAGGAATTCCTGGAGTGTATATGGGATGGTTTTCTTGACCAATATGTGGAGGAACCAACTAGAGAACAAGCCATCTTGGACTGGGTGCTCAGTAATGAGAAGGGAATCATTGGCAATCTAGCCGAGAGACACTCCTTGGGGAAGAGTGACCACAACATGACAGAACTTTTTAATCAAGATGGAGGGTGAGGCTGTTGATTTGGAGACTAGGGTGCTGAACCTTAATAAAGGAAACTACGAGGATATGAGGTGTGAGTTGGTCTTGATAGATTGGGGAGAATTACTTCAAGGGATGACAGTGGATAGGCAACGGCAAACATTCAAGGAATGCATGGGGGATCTGCAACAACTGTTTATTCCTGTCTGTCGCAATAGCAAAATTGGTAAGAGGGCCAATCCATGGCTTACAAAAGGAAATAAGAGATAGTATCTGATCCTAGGAAGGAGCATACAGATTGGCCAAGAAAAATAATAAATCTGAGGATTGTGAGCAGTTTAGAATTCAGCAAAGAATGACCAAGGCATTGATTAAGAAGGGGAAAACAGAGTACGAAAATAAGCTTGCACACTGACGCCAAGAGTTTCTATAGGTTCATGAAGAGAAACAGATTGGTAAAGACAAATGTAGGTCCCCCACAGACAGAAATGGGGGCATTATAATAGGGGACAAAGAAATGGTTGAGGAACTGAATATATACTTTGATTCTGTCTTCACAAAATACAACACAAATCAGATACCAGAATTGTTGCAGGATGCAAGATTTAGTGAGAGGGAAGAACTGAGGGAGATCTATATTGGTAGAGAAATGGTACTGAGAAAACGGTTGGGATTGAAGGCTGATAAATCCCCAGGGCCTGATAATCTACATCCCAGAGTACTTAAGGAAGTAGCTCTAGAAGTAGTGGATGCATTGGTGGTCATCTTCCAGGATTCCATAGACTCTAGAACAGTCCTTGCAGTTTGGAGGTTGGCTAATATTACTCCAATTTTCAAAAAGGAAGGTAGAGAGAAAACAGGGAGTTATAGACTTGTGAGCCTACCGTCAGTAGTGGGGAAAATTCTCAAATCCATTGTCAAGAATTTTATAGCAGACCATTTAGAAAGCAGAGGCAGGATCAGAGAGTCAGCAATGGATTGATGAAGGGGAAATCATGCTTGACAAATCTGTTGGAATTCTATGAAGATGTAACTAGTAGAGTTGACAAGGGGGAGCCAGTCGATGTAGTATATTTAGACTTTCAAAAAGCGTTTGACAAAGTCTCACGTAAGAGATTAATGTGCAAGATTAAAGCGCATGGGATTGGGGAAAGTGTATTGATATGAACAGGAACCTTGTTGGCAGAGAGGAAACAAAGAGTAAGAATTAATGGGTTCTTTTCAAATTGGGAGGCAGTAACTAGTGGGGTGCCACAGGGATCAGAGCTGGGATCCCGGCTATTCACAATATTTATTAATGATTTGGATAAGAGAACAAAATATAACATCTCCAAGTTTGCTGATTATACCAAGTTGGGTGGGAAGGTGAACTGTGACGAAGATGCAGAGAACCTTCAGCATGATCTCAACAGCTTGGGTGAGTGGGCAAATCAATGGCAGATGCAGTGAAATTTACCTGAATGGCTGTAAACTGGGCGAGGGATGTATGCAGCAGGACCTGGGCATCCTTGTGCACCAGTCACTGGAGGTAAGCATGCAGGTGCAGCAGGCGGTAAAGAAGGCAAATGGTATGTTGGCCTTTATTATGAGACGTTTTGAGTACAGGCGCAGGGATGTGCTGTTGCAGTTGTACAAGGCCTTGGTGAGACCACATCTGGAATATCTTATGCAATGTTGATATCCCTTTCTGAGGAAGGATGCTCTTGCTCTCGACGGAGTGCAGCGAAGGTTTACCAGGCTGATTCTGGGGATGGTGTGTCTGACACATGAGAGACTGACTAGGTTGGGATTGTTTTTGTTGGAGTTCGGATGAATGGGGGGTGATTTCATAGAGACTTCTAAAATTCTAAAAGGACTGGACAGGTTTGATGCAGGGAGGATGTTCCTGATGGTGGGTGTCTTCAGAACCAGAGGTCACAGTATGAGGATTTGGGGTGGACGATTTAGAACGGAGATGAGGAAACATTTCTTCACCCAAAGAGTGGTGAGTCTGTGGAATTCATTACCACAGGAAGTAGTTAATGCCAAAACATTGAATGTATTCAAAAGGCAACTAGACATAGCACTTGGGGTGAATGGGACCAAAGGTTATAGGGAGAAAGCAGGATTAGGCTACTGAGTTGGACGATCAGCCATGATCGTGATGAATGGCAGAGCAGGCTTGAAGGGCTGAATGGCCTCCCTCTTGCTCCTATCTTCTATGTTTCTATGCTAACAAGATTAAACGGCTAAAGGCATGGCTGAAAGATTGGTTTGGGAGAATTCATGGGACATTGGTACTAGCACTCGGGAAGGAGGTATTCTGCTAGGACGAGCTCCATCTGAATCATGGTGGGACCAGAGGCCTGTTAAATTACATACCTTGAGTTATGGATAGGGTTTTAAACTAAATTGTCTTTTGGGGCGGGGGAGGGAGCAGCGATGTTCAACCACATGGAAAATCATGGCAATGTTAAAAGGTTGGGGCAGGGTTATTCAGGAGAAGTTATTAAAGTTTTCAGAACAAGTAATAGGACAGGGAGCATTGAA